ACTCCTCTTCTTTTTCTTCTTCTTCTTCTACTCCTCCTCTTTTTCTTCTTCTTCTACTCCTCTTCTTTTTCTTCTTCTTCTTCTACTCCTCTTCTTTTTCTTCTTCTTCTTCTACTCCTCTTCTTTTTCTTCTTCTCCTTCTCTTCTTCTCCTTCTCTTCATCTTTTTTCTTCTTCTCATCTTTATCTCTTCTTCTTTTCCTCATCCTCTTTTTCTTCTTTTTCTCTTCATCCTTTTCTTTCTTCTCCTTTTATTTTGCATCTTCTTTTTTCTCTTTTGCTTTTTCTTCTTTTCTTCTATCACTCTTCCTCTTTCTTCTCTTCCTCCATTTCCTCTTCTTCTCATTCTCCTTTTTCTTCCTTTCTTTCTCCTCCTTTTTCTTCTCCTCCTTCTCGTTTTTTCATCTCTTTTTATCCTCCTCCTCCTTATTCTCTTTCTACTTCTCCTATCCATCAGTCATCACTTCTACTTCTATTGCTTTAGAAATCATTATTTCAATCTGACAATAATCATAGATGGTAAACATGCCAGTGTGTGAAACTAACTTCTGATTAACATTGACAGCTTTAAGTATTTTATTTTATTTTTTTAATAACTTAAATTTAAACCTTACAACCCAAAAGAAGCAGACTGAAAAAGAAAAAGAAGAAAAACTTTTTTATTTATTTAAAAAGAATTAACAATCTTCCAGTTGTGAATTAATTGTGATTGTCTTTTGAATTTATCTCACAACAATTCTTTTTTTCTTTATTGATTTCTCTGAAGAATACCTTTTTCTTTTTTTTTTCTTTTTGTTTCTGGTTACTGGAAAAATTGATCGTTACTGCTTAATTTTCCTCTGTTACGACCTACTTAGTAACAATTAAAATAGCTTTTTACATTGAAACTTCTTTTCATTCTGATCTGCCATGCATTACTTCTGCTATTTCATCTGTCTTCAATGATTTTATCTGCTTCAATATACAAGTAAATGAAAAACAGAAATATTGGTTTAAGTTTTCTTTCTTTTATTTTTTTTCTGCTATAGTCAAAATCTGAAGAATGCATCTACTCATATTTCTGCAAAGTGCCAGGACAGATTGGAACAAGATTTAGTGCATCAGTTTCTTGAATGAAACCATTCCACAGAGGTTACATTACGCACATAGTGCCACAAAGTAAATTGTGAGGAGGCGTTAAATTGTATGTTAAGTTTTAAAGATTCCTGATTCTATAGGATTTTGTTTTTAAATATTTGTTATGAAGTTGTATTGCCTTCATGTTTTATCAATCCAGCAGTAGTTGTTTATCTTGCATACCAAGAGCTGGTCTACTCTTACTGCTTGGGCATTTATATAGTCTATGAGACCCATAGACTTTTTTCACATATCAGACATACGTAAATGTTTTAGAAGCACATGTTTCAAAAAAAAAAAATGGCAAATTTTTATTATTTATTTTTAAAATTCAAATCAAATGGCTGGCCACTCGTATCCAGTGTCGTAGGGTGGTTAGCCAATCTCTGTTGCAAATGCCTGCTCAGGCACATTTGTGTTTGTTCAACACCCACAGAACCTAACTGTAGTATATACTGCAACTATGTTGAGTGGCCCTTAGTTACAGTTTCTGGGAGAGAACACATTATCTAGTATGATCAACACACACTTGGTCTCAATGACTTGTGAATTTTATGCTAGCACAACCATCTATGGTTTCCCAAATAGTTCTGTCTACTCAATTTCACTCAAAGCTTGGATCAACCTGTGGTATGGTTTTCAGCCACTTTCCAAAGGTGGTGCATGCTGGGATCACCTCCCCCCAGAGACAGATAACATCAAGAAGTTTACTTCCTATCAAATCAACCATGGTGAGATTCTAACCCAGGTCTCATGGTCAGAAAGCAAACGTTCTAACAACTCGGTTAAAATTAATAGCAGTAATAATAGGATTATCATAGCTTGAGGACAAGAAAACTAATTTTCTCTTCTGTGAAGTTCTCAGTTTCAGAAAAGGTGGGGGAGGGGATTACTTATTGCCAAAAAATGTTCTATGTTCCATATCCCTTCAGGATATAGTTGTTCATGGCTCTCCTCAAATTCTGGTCTTTTTTAGCCCTTAGCAAGGTTTTGCTATCTCTCCTAATCCCTGTTTTGCCAACCAATTACATATTAGGTAGGTTATTCACTGCTTTCTTCTAGCCATCTTGTCTTCAATATGTCCTGTGAGTGTCAAATTTTACAAGCCCTCTTTCCTCATTATGTGCCTTAAAAATTTCAATTATCTTTTTCTGATTCTAAATATAAGTGTACTTTTTGTTTCCATTTTCCATAAAACTTCTTCATTGCACACATGTTCAGTCCATGGAATTGTCAGCATCCTTCTGTAGAACTACATTTTTATTACGTCAAGTCTCTTCTTCATCTGTGATGATATAATCCAGCATTCACTGCTATATAGGAGGAATGATAAGTCTTAGTGTCCAAATTAAATATACAGATTAAAACAAAACTTTGCCTGTAATATTTGTTTGATCTTTTAAAAGAAAGATTTTGAATTCTTCAAAACACCAAAATCTAGTTATTACAATCTTCTGAAACTCTATCAAAAAGAAAACTTGAGGCATACTTAACTAAATTTTGTTTTTTTTAATCGATTCACCCTGAACAAGGTGATAATTCCACTAAGATACAAGGAGCTACTTGGAGTGAAAAAGAATGAGAAAACTTTAGAAGGAACCGGAAACACATTTCTAAACAGGAAACTAGGGATAGACCTTTACTCCTGTTCAAAATACAGGGGAGGAGTGTGAATGTGATGATAGGCAAACCTAAATCAAATCCAAAAAGAAACCTAAACTAATGAAAAAAATTTGTTAAAATTTAGCCAATATTAAAAAGATAGAAAATACACTTTAATTTAATTAAAATCCATTTTCTCTTTGTTTTTTTTAGGTGTGAGGTATGTGTGGATAACAGAATTATTATTAGTACAGAAAATGAAATCAGTGAATTGAGTTCAAATTCCAGTCTAGTCTGTTGTGCTTACTTTTATACTAATACCCTTGGAAAAACACCAATCCATTTCTTGTTCCACCAACTATGGGTTAAATAGCAGAGTAGACTAGGCTCTCTAGCTTTGGATGGCAACCAGTTTTAGAGAACTTCACTGAATTGAAAACTGCCAAGGGACTATCAGAAAACTACTATCCTAGCTTTTCAAAGACATCATGACAATTCATGCATATAAAAGAAATGGAACCTGTGAGAAACTGTGATTACCTATATTCTGAAGGGACATGACATTTAAAAAATAAATAACCTGTGAAAAAATTGTTTTTCATGAGTTTTTTTTTTTTTTAATGTAAACTAATGTTTTATTAAAAAGAAAAATTTATTTTTTAATGAAGTCATTGTGATTTTGTTAACGGGTTAAACATTTCAGTGTGTTAGCTTGTAAAAAATGTGTGTAAAATTTAATGTGTATGATCTTGTAACATATTTTAGTGTTGTTGGGGGAACCATGTACTGCAGCCATAACATCAGTGTGCATCTAGGGCTAGATAGCCTGTCTCTCTTCAAGCTGATTTCAATTCAGTGTAGTCTTTCTCCTAGCAAGGCTAAAGTACACAGTTTGTCCTACTATTGCACCTATAGCTATAGGTGAAAGAAATTGTTTCAGGCCTTTTCAAAGAGGATTAATATGGATGCTACCTCAGTTAGAAGATGCATATTGTGGTGTGATGGATATTGGCTCAGAATGAGAAATCGTTGAGCTGTGTTTGAATTCCAGTTGAGTTTGTTACATTCACTTATGTGCAAAAGCCCTTGTGAAAGTTATAAATCCTTCTCTTCTCCTCTCAGCTATGGGTTGAATAGCAGGACAGACTGGATTCTATAGTCTTGGTTGGCAACCAGTTTACTGCAGAAAGAAACAGAAACCTATTGTAGTCAGTCATGAATTGAAAGGGACAGGTTTGCCCAAGTGTGTATCACTTGCCCATTAACTGACTGGCTGACCTCAGTTGGAATTTGAACTCTGCTAAGCGATTCCATTTTCAACACCAATAACCATTATCCCAATTCCAACATAGTTTTTTGTTGTTTTTTTTCAATTAAGTGCGACAAAACTTTTCTAGCAAGAAGTTCAATAACCTGTTTTTACAGTAAATCCTCTATTTTGTTCTCAGGCTATAAATGAAAATAATAACATAAATTTAATTTTTAATATATACGAGCAAGTGCTGAAAAATTTGCAGCCTTACTCACATTCAAAAATCTCTATTCTAATGTTTTATCATTGAAATACTAATTCTGGAAAGTGGGTCAATCTGAGAACTTTTCAGAACCTCCTTATACATATATTTTTATAAATTTTACATTAAATATGTATTTATCCATAGCACCATTCCTGTTCTTTTAATACATTATTTCTAATATAATGATATGTCCCAGAAAAGGATATATTTGTTCAAAGTAGCAAAGTGGTTGTTGACTACTGTAACCAGGTAGGACAATCTAGCAGGTAATCATAATGGACTGGTCCTCGTCGTAGTGGTAGGCAATAGGCAAAGACCATAGGCGTAGTCAATAGGCGTCAACCCTGTACCTCCACATCAGTCTGTATTTATGGCTGACACCAGCTAATCATATTACTGTGAGGGGGAACCCAGGTATATGCATATTCATTACATCATATAAATATGCTGTGGTATTTCTGTTATGTCATCTAAGGCGTCCTCTACACAAGAAATTTGCTCTTCTCTATCTAGTAGACTATTCTGGATATATAGAAAAGTGTTGGTTAAAAATATACAAGTTGGTACTGAAAAATACTTGGCCTGTCCCCTTTCTCAAAATCTGTTTGAAGACATCAGATTTTTTTTAATCTCTCCATCTAATATATATGGACACACACACACACACACACACACTCACTGTCCTTAAAAAATCAATGTACAAATTGTAAGTAATTTTTTAAGATTATTTATTTTGTTTACAAAACTTTTTTTAACTCTCTTTCAGGTGATTCCGATTTAGTCCCAAGTGAAGATGAATCCCAGAATGTCTTCAAAGAACCAGATCCTGACAACAGTGTCAGTAAGAAAGCATCAGCTGTCAAAGAGAAAACACCTGGTAAACAATGCTTTCCCCATAATATTTTTACTTTTTACTTACAATATTGGAGGTTTTGACTATAATAATACATATAAAGCATGTGTGTAAGTATAAGAGTGGACATGGAGTTAAACACTGAGTGGTGACAGTCTGTTTTCTGCTTGAACACAATCTTCAGGCCATGTGTGATGAGTGGTAGTTATATTATTCATATATGCTGGTTATTGGGGCATTATAGATAGCAAGGTCAGGTATTTCCAGTTTATTGTGTTATCTAAAACAATAGCGCAATAAACTAGAACTTTCTGAACTTGCTACCCATAATGCCCTATTGTCCTGCATATACTAATAGTCAAACTATCACCCAACACACATGGCCTGAAGACTCTGTTCAAGCATGAAACAAACTGTCGCCACTCAGCGTTTACCGCAGTGTCCACTCATACTTACACACAAGCTTTACTTGATATTGAGCATTCTTACCCATAAATATAGCATACCATAAAACTATATTTTTTATGCATATATATATATATATATATATATGAAAAATTTCTCAGAGTTAACTTGTGGGAAAAGACAGTATTTACTCTCCCACACAAATGTACACAACTGTATCAAGAAATCAAAAGAAAATGATTGAATCTGTTGACACAACAATAAAAACAATATTTCTACATGTGATAGTACTTGACATAATTTTCTAAATTCTTACAGTTCCTAAGGACATTTTGTTTTGTTGTTAATAGTTACTTTGTTTTAATAAATTCGTTTCGTTTTTTGCCTTGAAAAAGTCCACATTGGATGAAATGCATCAACTAATAATACAGTTTTCCTAATGTCTTTTAACTTATATATATGCACGGTGTTGAACTTAGTGAATATTTCAATAAGTATTAAATTCTACCAACTGTCTGTTTAAATTTTTATTGTTTTTTACAATTTCTGCATGAAATTACATATTATATACCAATAACATTTACTTCCTGATAATGACTAAGATGAAAGTACTAAAACAAAAACAGTTTTGTATAAATAAATGTGTCCCATGAGAAGTTTTTCCACTTTGTCATAGTTTTCCCTATATATATATATATATATATATATAATATTTGAATTGGAAACAAATAGAGATTGGAATAAAAGAAGAAAGAAATTAACCAATGAAAATCAAACAAGACAAAAGAAAAAATACCAGACTTTCTTTCTTCTTTTTTTCCATATTTCATTCTCTGATGAAGCTTTAATATAAGTGAAACATGTTAGCTTGATAGATATTTTGTATTTGTTCTTTGTCTTATATAATAGTTGATATATTTATAGGCAAAAATTGCTTAATATCAGAGAGAGACTATTTACAGATATAGACAGCATAATGCATGCTCACTGTCAGCTTCATGCTCATATTCAGTGTGAGAAGATCACTTTCAAGCATGAAACTGTTACCATGCAGTATTGATTCTTAGGCCCTACCTCTCATATATATATATATATATATATATATATATATATATATATATATATAATGATACAATATGGTAATCTGTATGGAATTTCCAGGGGGATATAGATACAGGGAAAGCTCTGTCAAAATTATTATTAATTAAAGAATATCAAACACTTTCTTTGAATAATCTGCACATGTCAATTTATTTTTATAATGATCCTTTCTAATTCTCTAATCATTCTCTTGATGTTGAGATGAAATTCATTATGGAAGACACCATAGTTGTTTTTCCTTTCCCAAGTACTTTCAATCTCCTCTGAGATCATCCTCAGGGGTGAATTGTTAAAATAAAACTTAATGTAACTCTGATTGTTGTGAGTTTTGTGAACATGCTCTCTTATAATTATTTTAAAATTAACCACTGTAGCTATGGTGCTTTTTTGTAAACAAGCATTCATAATGTAAGGGTGGTAACCAGAAATGGTAAAAATGCAAATTCATTAAATGTTGATCAAATACATTTTTAAACATTACTACTATACTCTCTCATGCACACACACACACACACACATATATATATATATATATATATATATATATATATAACACACATATATATATATATATATATATATATATATATATATATATAAGAAAAGGAAATTTTTTTAATACATTTCATCCACTCAAGAGAAGACAAAACATGTTGTTAAAAAAAAGTTATCTTTATTCATATTGTCCTTTCACAGATATATTTTATTTATATCCAAATTTTTACATATATGTGGGTGATTATAAGTTCTTGACTGATGTTAATTCACTTGCTCAGATTTTGGAAAGTAAAATGGATCAACCCAAGAAAGTTTTAGTCCTTGTGTGTGCATATATATATATATATATATATATATATATATATATATATATATATATATATATATATATGTGTGTGTGTGTGATTTCTTATTACTATAGATTTCATTTTTTGTGGGTAAATATATGTGTTTGAGTTGCTGTCCATATTTGTTATTTTTCTTAAGCAGTAAAATTAATAACAGCCAATTTTTCTTTAGTATGACTTCTCAGTTGATCTACCCACTAAAAATACCATTTATAGTAATAAGAAATAATGTCAAATTAAAAATTACATTTAATATATATATATATATATATATATATACACACACACACACACACATATATATATATATATATATATATATATATACCTTACAATTGCCACTCCCAAACCTAATTTTTTTACCTTTGTTCTTAGACTTCCTACTTTTGAAACATTTTTAAATATTTCCTCATCATTGTTTCTTCTCTATCCTCTTCTATCCTTATCAACCAAGTCATTCCCCCCTGCCAACTCTGTCTCTCTCTCTCACTTCTTATATGCCTCTATCCCTTCTCCACTACAATTCTCATCATATCTTCATTTCTCTCTCCCCACCATCCTTCTATCTTTATTTTATTTCTCCCTGTCCTTTTTTCCTTCACCCACCGCCACTACCACTATGGGTTTTGCTTCTTCTGTGTCTGCGGAACTCCTTGTGACCACCTGGATCAATCTTTATTTTCTTCTCTCGTCTTCCCCCCCCTCTCCTAAACACTTTTCTCCCTTCCTCACTTCTCAGCCACCTTCCTTCATTTTTCATTGAGTGCTTGTCAACTTACACTCTCCCCCAAATGATATCTTTTACCTTGTGATTCTATTTGCCATCTTCCCCACCTCCCACTGTGTGTAAATATTCTTGTGTTTCAGCATTATTTTCTCTTCATTTTCCTACTGATTTGCCTTTTCCTACCAATCTCTCTCTCTTTATCCGCTCTTGTTTTAATGCCTTTAACTCTAATACATCTGATATATCTACCCTCTTAAATGCTTTCTTTTCAATCTTATGTGTTTCATTTTTTGTGTTTTTTTAAACTTGCTTGCAAATATTTCAATATTTCTTCATCTTTTTTTCATACTTTTTAACGATTTCTCTCTTTCCTCCTCCTCCTAAGCTTTCTCTTACTTTTTCTTCCTTTACTCTCACCTCTATTTCTTTCTGTTCCTTTCTCATTTGCTACTGTCTTTCTTTTTGAGAGCCTCTCTCTTCCGACATAATTTCTCTTCCTTCAGCTTCTTTCTTTCTTTTTCTCTTTCCTCCTCTCTTTTCCCTTCCTATCCTTGATATTTAATTTTTCTTGTTCCTCTTTTCATTTCTTCTCCTCCCTCAAAACTCAGCTTCTTCTCTTTCTTTTCTCCCTTCTTTTTATTCCATATCTTTGATCCCTTTTACTCTTTGTCTCCTTTCTAATATTTCCTAGCCCATCTTTCCACCTCTCGACTTTCTCCCTTTCTTATTTTCCTCCTCTTCATTTCATCCTTTGGTATTCTTTGTTAAACTCTCTTTTCCATTTCACTCTTTTTCTTCTTCCTCTTCTTACTTTGATTTTCTTTTTTTATCTCTTTGTTTTTACTCTCTTACCATTCTCTTTTTGCCCATCTTTCTTGCACTTTCCTCCTCTCTCATCATATCAATTTCTGCTTTTCCTCTTTTTCCTTTTACTTTTTGATTCATTCTCTCTTCCTTCTTCACATTTCTGCCTACTCTCTCACTTTGTCTCTTCAATAATAACTTTGTCTTCTTAATACAGTTTCCTTACTGTCATCTAACCGACACAACTAACAACAGGCACCTTCTACCACAAACTCTCTTTTCATTTCTATGGCATCTAACGACTTGGCAATATTAAAACTTTCTCATTTTGTCTCTACCTATCACTATCGTCATCATCATCATCACTATAGACATTATCACTGTGTTGATCTTCCCTCTACCTTCCTATTCCTCTGTCCTTGCATTTACAACTATTGTCCTTCTCTTTCTCCTTCCTTCCTTCCTTCCCTCCCTCCCTCCCTTCCTTCCTCCTTCTAGTCTGGCTGTTCAAATTCTACATTGTAATCATCCAATACATTGCTGCGGAAAATGTCAAACAATGAAGCGAAGATGTGTCGCAGGTGAGTCAGCTCGCACAAGGTGGACGCTCGATGCATATAATTGATTCTAATTCTGCTCCCTAACCCCAACTCATCACCACCTACACACGCGCTGCACAGATTATTCTGCAGTAGGGGCAGAGAAGTGGGGAAGGAAAATGCCTTGCACCAAAATCTCTAAGCCACTTGCTTTTTCTCTGTTTTAGTTATTTTCTGTTGCCTTTTTATGATGATAAATTTCAAGTCTCACAGTGACTTTTATGTTAATAGATTTCCATGTGATTTTTATTTTAGAAGAAATTAAAACTTTTTCTATTTATATAACATCTATAAGTGCATGGGTGCATATTTCTCATTCTGCATGTGTTTGTATGCCACTGTAATTATGCTTAAGTTATATATGAATATAAACTACTAAAGTACATGTCTTCCTAGACATATATATATATATATATATATATATATATATATGAGTACTTTGTTGTCAAATATATTGCTACATGTCTTTTGGACAAATGTTTATATTTTGTCTACATCTGTCAATTTGACGATTGTGTCTATGGTTGCTCATATATTCCTTTTCAACACGTCTCCTTTTTGTCTACATCTGTCAACTTGACGATTGTGTCTGTGGTTGCTCATATATTCATTTTGGACAAATCTTTATATTTTCTCTATATTTGTGAACTTGACAATTGTCTATGGTTGCTTATATATTCATTTTGGACAAATGTCTATGTTTTGTTTACATCTGTCAATTTGATGATTGTAGCTATTATTGCTCATATATTCCTTTTGGACAAATGTTTATATTTGGTCTACGTCTGTCCAACTAGTAGTTGTCTATTATATTCCTTTTAGAAAAATGTCTGTTTTGTTTGCATCTGTGAATTTTTCCCTTTCTGATTGGGCAGCACTAATTTCAACAAAAAGTCTCAGAAATAAACTTCCAGTCACTATGAAGCTAACCACTACATTAGAGAAGATCCTCTGGTCAAGTTCAATTTATTTGAACTTTGACTTTATCCAAAATAATTGCACATACATTTATAGAATTTGGCATATATTCCATATAATATTCTACATAGATTAATGAAAAAGACAGCTTTAATACTGACTAAAAAGTTGTTTGAATTTCACATACTGGAATATATTTTCTATGTTGATGTTTGTTTAATGTTTAAACCGTTTGTTTTGTACTTAACAGCTGTTTATGATGGTTTATGTTGAAAATATAACAAGAAAAACAAGAGATTTATTGACAAGTCTTAAATTATTGTAGTGACAAACCATAATGTAAATTGGTTATTTGGATAAAACTAAGAATTTCTTGTGGGTTTTCTCAACTCAGTGCTTGTCAAACTAAGTTACTTCACAATTTTTTTTTTAACCTTCTCTCATGTTTCTTGGGATAACGTAATCAAAAGGAATGTTGAAACCAAATGGGTCCAAGACTAATCAAGGCTATTCTGTGATCTGAATTAAAAAAGGATTGTTCTGTTAAAGAAAAAAAAATTAAAAATCCTCATGGCAAAACAAATTAATCTAAAATAATTCAATAAAGTTTAATTAAGTAAAAGATCTTTGATGCAGGGCCTAAGATTGTGGAGAGGTAACATAGCAGCAATATAATCAAAAGATTATGCAAGTCTTTTGGGAACTGATTGACAAATTTTAGTCTCAGATATTTTTTTCTTTCCTCCTCATGGTTGCAGTTTTTTGTGTCTCCCCCTTCATAACATTTGTTGTGATACTTGAGTTGGATATCTTTGCTAAAGTTTCGGGAAGTGAAATTAATACATGCACCAGATTTCTACATAATTTATTGGTATTTATTGCATGAAAGACTTTGAGCATATAGACCCAGTTCAAATACACCACATTACAAAGGTAATCAAAAGTTATAACATCAGAAGTGACTATTTAATATTTTATTATACTTGATAGTTTCAAGTAATGCTAACTTTATTGATTTTTTTTGTTCATCTTCACCTGAAGTATTGTTTGCTTTAGGCAGGAAAGACAACTTCACACCTGTTTATATAGTTTCCAGAATTGCACTTTTTTCTTCATTTCAGGGATCAAATATCATAAAACAAACCTCTCCATCTTATAATGCAGTCCTCTCAAATTTATTTAAAAAAAACATATTATTTTCTTCAAAATATTATTAAAATATTTATTTAACAATTCTATTTTTTTAACTTTTGATAACATTTTCAATTTTATTATTTATTTTTTAAATTAAATATTTGTCCAAAACGTGCATTATCTTAGTCTTCTATTTCAACACTTTGTGTTTATTATTATTATTATTATTATTATTATTATCATCTAACAGCTAACTGATATCTTTCATGCATTCAACTTGTTTTTATATTTCTTTCAAAAATGTTTTTTTCTTTGGAACTTTAAACCATTGATTTCAAATCTCTTCATCATTTTAATCAGCTAAAGTTTTGAAACACGTTCAAAGATTTCTCCAAGTTGTATTTTATTAGGTTGAGTCAATAATTTCAATTTTTTTTTATCAACTTTATTCTTAAAAAAAAAACAAAAAAAACAATGTCCAATTACATTTTATTCAATTATATATTCACCTTTATTTGCAATGACTTATTGCTACTTATCAGGCTTTGCTAACTTTGGGTAAAATTCCATACGTTCTGATGTTAAAAAGTTCAACAAACTCTGGTCTTCAATAGGCAAAGTTTTCCATATCAAAACATTATGCAATGATTGTAAAAGGTATAGGTAGTAATCGGCTGGTGCAAGGTTCTCCCTTATCATCTGGTTCACTCTTCTCTCAGGTCTTTTGAACAGGAGTAGAAGTTTATCCCTTATTTCCTGTTTAGGATTGCATTTCCGGTTCCTTCTAAAGTCTTCTTATTCCTTTTTACTCTCAGCAACCCCTTGCATCTTCATATTATTACTACTTTGTTTGGGAATGAATCGATTATATATATATATATATATATATATATATATATATATGGCAAGTGACATAGAACAAACCAACCAAATTCCAATTTGTTGTTATTCTGCTGTATGCAGCCCCATGTTGTTATGAAGGAGAACAATATTTTTCCTTTAATCCACTGTGTACACTGCCACTGCTGTATAAAACTTTAGGCCTGTTAAAGGAAAGAAAGAAGAAAGGATTAAACATCAACTGCAAGAAGACAGAATGCATGGCTGTTAACAAAAGGATGAGCCTAAAATACAAATTATAAATCGGAGTTACCAAAATCAAACAAGGACAAAAATTTAAGTATTCTGGGAAGTGTTTTAACAGAGGATGGAAAGTGTGACGCTGAAATCTGAAGATGCATTGGGATAGCCAAAGATACATTTCAAAAGCTAAGCAAAGTATTAAGAAACAGGAAAAAACATCAGTAGAAACAAAGAAAAGAGTATTGAACTGTTACATATCTGTCCTCCTATATGGCAGTGGATGCTAGACAATCTCCTCAAAGATGAAGAAGAGACTCAAAGCAACAGAAATTTGGTTGTACAGAAGGATGCTGAGGATACCATGGTCTGAATATGTGAGCAATGACAAAGTTTTAGAGAAAATAGAAACAAAAAAAAGCAACTTATACCTAAAAACAGGATGAAAAAGCTGAAATTTCTAGGGCACATAATGAAGAAAGAGGGCCTGGAAAATCTAAT